GTAGGGAGCAGGGGCAGATCCTGCCCAGCTCTGCTCACACAAAAACCTGTGAGCTTCATTTCAAGGGCCACAAAAACCTGTCAGCATCATTTCAAGGGCCACAAAAACCTGTGAGCTTCATTTCAAGGGGGACATTTCCCCTCCCAGCTCTGGAGAGCAGGGAGTGTGCAAACCCAGGGCACTGGGAATATTTCTGTGTCTGCTCTGGGTGCTCTGGCCCCCAGGGCAGCCCTGACTCTGACCCTCACTCATGGAGAAAGTTTCCTAAAGACTTCAAGATAGACTGGAACCCACAAAAGTGTGAAATTTAGAGATCGTAGAGAGAAATATAGATTACAGAGAGTAGTGTAGGTGTATCACTTGGTGAGAAATTGAGGTTTTGGGATTTTTAGGACGTTGTGGATGGAAGCAAGGTGGAGGGCACAGGGTTTGTCCTGGGTTTGGTGGCATTTTGTAATTGGGCAGAAAAGTCTGCATTGCAGCTCTTTGGGATCAGTTATTGGGTTAAAAGGGAAAATAATCCAGGTGTCAGTTCTTAATTGGAGGGTTTAGTCTTAAAAGACCTTGGAACAAGAGATTGTTGGCCATTTTGTGCCTTGCTGCAGAACTCACGGTTGCGAGGCTGTTTTACTGATAAGAAATAATAAATAAACACCTGAGTCTGAGCATGAACCACTGCCTCAAGTGCCTTCAATCCAGACCCAGAGAAACCCACAGCTGGAACCTCCACAAGGGAGGCCTTGCAGAGGAGCTCTCATTCCCTCCCTGGAAGGAGGAGAGGAGATGCTGCCTTCCTCCCTGGACCAACAAGGTGCTGCCATCACCTCCCTGCTGGAAAGTGCATTGTCCTGCATTGCCCTCATTCCCTGCACAGAATGCAGCTGTGCATTGTCCTCCTGCAGCTGTGCATTCTCCTCATTCCCTGCACAGAATGCAGCTGTGCATTGTCCTCATTCCCTGCACAGAATGCAGCTGTGCATTCTCCTCATTCCCTGCACAGAATGCAGCTGTGCATTGCCCTCCTGCAGCTGTGCATTCTCCTCATTCCTTGCAGAGAATGCAGCTGTGCATGGCCCTCATTCCCTGCACAGAATGCAGCTGTGCATGGCCCTCATTCCCTGCACAGAATGCAGCTGTGCATTGCCCTCCTGCAGCTGTGCATGGCCCTCATTCCCTGCACAGAATGCAGCTGTGCATTGTCCTCATTCCCTGCACAGAATGCAGCTGTTCATTCTCCTCATTCCCTGCACAGAATGCAGCTGTGCATTGCCCTCCTGCAGCTGTTCATTCTCCTCATTCCCTGCACAGAATGCAGCTGTGCATTGCCCTCCTGCAGCTGTGCATTCTCCTCATTCCCTGCACAGAATGCAGCTGTGCATTGCCCTCATTCCCTGCACAGAATGCAGCTGTGCATTGCCCTCCTGCAGCTGTGCATTGGATGCACAGCTCCCTGGGCTGGGCTCAGCCCTCACACCACTCGCACAAGCCCTGGCACCTCCCAAAACCAGCAGCCCTCCCTCCATCCCTGTGTGCTCTGCAGCGTTATCCCAGGGCTCTGCTCCAGACACCTGGCTCTGCAGAGCAGCTACAAAAACAAACAATCCTGGATTTCCTACAGGGGAATGAAGCCCCAGCAGAGCTGGGAGACCGCAGCACCTGGGCAGGATCGGCTCCCATTGCAGCACTCCCAGCCCTGGTCCTGCTCCCATTTTGAGGCAAACTTTGCCATTTTCACTCAGATCTGTCCCTGGCCACCTTCCCAGCCCATCAGGAGGCAGATGATGTCCCTGTGCAGGCTGCCAGCAGCGAAGGTGAAAGTTTATTGCTGTGCCTTTGCATTTCCCCGGCCATAAACAGGAAACAAGCAGCATTAGACTCACTAAATAAAAAAAAAGCCAAACCAGATAGGCAAGGCTGAAGATGCTGCTTTTTCCATCCACACCCTTTTCCCTCTCATTCACATACAAATTACTGTTGCATCCAGGTGGGAGGAGAGTTTGAAGAGGGGAGGGAAAGGGGGGGCAGAGCAGAGATGTTTGCCAAATAGGCTGAGGGATCAGAGGCAGCTTTCTCATAAAGCGCAGGGCTGACCCACAAACTGCTCGAAAAACCTCAAAATCCACAAGAGTTTCCCTCCCTGCCCCGTTTGCAGGGTGAGAGCAGCCCCAGCAGGGAATTGGGAGGCAGGGAAGGGGTCTAACCAGGTCACTCCACCCTTCCCATCCTGCCTGGAGCACAGCTCGGCAGGGAGGGAGGGAAGCAGACCTGAAATGTAGGCCATCTACAAAGGCTGGGGGAGAGGCTTAAACGATGTGAGATTTATGATCTTCAAAGTGATTAGAGCCCAGCACTCCAAATAAAGGCAAAGAGAGCTCCTGCAGTCGGTTTGGAGTTGGGTTTCAAACCATCCTGCCCTGGCTTCGGTTTGAAAACTTGAATTGCAAGCTAACGAAAAAGAAAAACCATCCAAAACCAACCTCAAACCCCAAACCAAATTAAAAAACCCACCAACCTCCACCCCTAATGAAAGAGCACAGCACCTGATTCTACATGAAAACACTTTGATATTTCCAGCTCTCCTCTCTTCCTTTTTTCTCGTCATTTGAAATCTATTTGCTGAATTGAGGATGAATTCAGCAACAGCTGAGGTCAACCCTAAATGTGAGCGTGGAGCCCGTGTGCATTTGGGCTCCTGCTCGTTTAAGAGAATAATTTAAAATAATAATTATTATTTTAAATAACAATACTTTCAAATAGTCATTATTATTTTAAATAATAACGTTTTAAAATCTCTCTACCCATGGCCTTGGGAGGGCCAAGAGAGGGAGACAAAGAGCCTTGCACAGCTCTGTGTCCACTCAGGGCCTGTCACATCCCATCCCTGGCATCACTGCAAACCCCCTTGCTGGGCTCTGGGCAATCAGAGCAGTTTAGGAATAAAATCAAACAATACAACGAGCTCATTCAGAGCCTTTTGCTTTTTAAACCCTGCTAAATCCCCAGCTAAGTCGGCTACTCAGTTGTAGAGACAAGCTGGAATAAATTAATTGGATTTTGCGGCGCCGTTTTGGTGGAAGGAGGAAAATAAAAGTGGAAATGCTGAAAAAAAACCCTAAAAAAATACAAAAAAAACCAAAAACAACAAAAAAATACCCAAAAAACCAAACCCCCACAAAAACAAACAAAAAAGTCCAAAAAACCCAAAAACGACTAAAAAAACCCCAAAAAACCCTAAAAAACCCCTAAAAACAAAGAAACAAAAAAATCAAAAAAACCCAAAAAACCAAACAAAAACAAACACAAAAAAAACCAAAAAACCCCCCCAAAACAAAAAAAAAAACCAAAAAAAAAAAAAACAAAAACAAATGTAAACCCACAATTTCTTTTTAGGAGGGGGATATTTCTACTGCCTGCAAACCTGGCTGCCCCCAGAAGTTCCCCAGCATCCCTGAGAGGAGCAGTGGGTGTAACTCAACCCTGCCCCACCACCTCTCCCCGATCAACCCCAGCCCAGCTCCAGCCCCTTTGTGGTGCTGCCATGGCAGAAGGACCTCGTGCTCATCCCTGTCTGCAATAATTTCACTTTCCCAGCCCTGGTGAGCGGGGCAGGTCCTGGTTGGATCCCTCTCCGTGCTCTGGGCTGTGCACACACAGGGCTTTTTGTTTGCAGCTGGGCATTCCAAACTCCTGGAAGGTGGCTGAGCGTGTCAGGACACCTTTGGTAGGAAAAGGGAGACCCACCCAAAGCTGCAGCAGCCAAAGCAAACAAACAAACAGCGCCGTGGCCGACATTTGTCACTGCACAGCCACCAAGGCAAGCTGGAGGCACAAAAAGCCACGTGGGGAAGGTGCAGCTGCTCACAGGAGGCCTCTGGGAAGGGTTGGAGCCCTGGGATTCGGGGGATGCACATGGGCAGAGGGTGGGAGGCTGTGCCAGCCTCAGCCCCGAGTCTGTGCGTGCAGCCCCAGCTCCTGGTGCACCCCAGCTCCCCCCCTGCAGTCCTGCAGCAGGGCAGCTTTGGCCCTCCTGGATCCTCTTTGCCTTGCAGGCCTCACTCCAGCTCTGCTGGCCACGGGAGGACTCAGCTCTGGGCTCAGAGAGCGTTTTCCCCAAATCTCAGGATGCTTTGCAGAGAGCATTTCCTCAAATCTCAGAATGGTTTGGGCTGGAAGGAGCCTTAAAGCTCCTTCCCTTCTTAAATCCCATCCCACCCCACCCCTGCCGTGGCAGGGACACCTCCCGCTGTCCCAGGCTGCTCCAAACCCAGTGTCCAGGGCACTGCCAGGGATGCAGGGGCAGCCCCGGCTGCTCTGGGCACCCTGTGCCTGCCACCGAGGGCTCCAGGGGGCTGTCACCTCCTGATGTGACACTCAAGGATCCTCAGGGCCACTCAGGAAGGCCTGCAGGCACTCAGGGAGCCAAGGAAGGCTTTAAAAGCAGGGGGAGAGGAGCACCCACAGCCCCTCAGCTGCTCTTTGTGCAATTGGGGTTTGCTTGCCCCATATTTCATCTGCTGCCTTGCAGACAGGAATTTGAGTCCAAAACCTCAAACCAGCTCATTTTTGGTGCTGGCTGACACTCCTGAGGCAGCCCCTTGCCTTTGTCCCTGCCCAGCACCGTGCTGCCAGTGCCAATGTCACAGCACCGGGGCTTTGGGGAGGGTTTCGCACCCTTGCCACCATCACTGAGGTGCTTTTTGTTTCTAAATAATGATCTAAAAAACTGTAAAAGCCAGAAAACCCCTCGAGCAAATGGTCATTTAAAGGAACTCTGTAATTAGCTGAACTTCTATGAATTAGGGAGAGGGAGAGCAGAGGTGCAATCTGTCATTGCATCCCACAAGGGGAACTGGGAAGAAATTCTGTGGTTTCTCTCTGACCCAACAGTTTTTATCTCTTTGCAGCATGATGAGCGAATATAAAACAGCCATTCCAGAAAGGGGAAAAATAAAAATAAATGAAAAATAAAACCCAGCCATTCCAGCCAGGGAGCATCTTACCTGCCTGTTAAAGTCCAGCCCATTCTGTTCATTCCCTACAAGGAAACAAAGAGAAAAACACCTCAGTGTTAATGACAGCACTGGTGGGAGCTTTCCAGAACTTGGGACACACACAACCAAAAAATTGGCCCTGGAAGAGCAAGCAGAGGAGGAGGAAGGTGCAGAAATGGGAGGATGAAGGCTTCTGCAGCATTTAGGTGGTGCCAGCCTTTTGCTGAGGGATAATGAAAGTGTTCCTGCCTGGGAGATACCTGGCCAAGGGTGGGGGAAATCACGAGGGAGATTCCAGCAGAGGTGAGCTGGAGGACATCACAAACGTGCAGGGGAGCCCAGGGCTAAGTGTGGGAAAGGCCAGCAGGGAGGTGGCCAGGGCTGCTCACCCAGGACCTTCAGGAACTGGGTAATTGTGGGTACCTGGAGGAACACAGGGTGCCGTGGGGTTGTGCTCCAGAGGCGTCTCCTTGATTCCAAAAGAGATTGGCAGGCACAGGGGGAAAAAAAATCAGACAGGTTCCAGCCTGAAGGTACCGCACAGGCCCTCACTCATTCCCCTTTGATGATAAACATCCCCCCCCCCTCCCCATCACACCTGCCAAATTCATCAAGAACATCACAGAGCAAAGGTTGTGCTCCCCACAGATCCGAGTGCTGGAAGGGATTCCACGAAGCTCTGGAGCTGCAGAGGCAACCCCAAGACACCCCTTCATTCTCCAGGCCTTTCCCTGCCAGTCCGGCCCAGGCTGTGATAAAGAGCCTGGAACTGTTCACATCCCACTGGCACAAGCCCCCAGGCCTCCTGCTCCTGCTGTTTTTTCCAGGATAACCTTCCCCACAAAGCAGAGCCCTGGGATCTGATCAAGCTCCAACACATTTTCCAGCAGTTCAGGGCTCCTGCAAAGAGCTGGGGAAGAGGCTGTGCAGGCAGGAGGGCAAATCCAGCTCTGCCATGGACTTTCCTCAGCTGAACGAGCCTTTATCCTTGCCCAGCACACATTTTTCCATGCACAGAGCATTCCCAGGTGAACCAGGCTGGGTCCTGAGGGGGAGTGTGCTTGGTACAATTATCCACAGATGGCAAAACATTGGAGAGTCAGGGATAACAGTGCTTGGTGGCTGCTCTCTGCTGTCTAGAAACAGCCCTGGAGATTTAATCTGGGACGTTTAAAAAGCACTGACTGTGGAAACAGAGCTGTGGGACTGTGCTATGGAGCAGGGCCACGGCACAAGAATGAGCTGCTGCCCCCTCAGCTTGACATCTGCTCACCCTCTGCACCTCAAGCAGCTCTGAGCTTCCCCTAGTCTGAAATCTCCTCAGCATCCACACCCCAAACAGATCTGAGCTTCCCCCCCAGTTTGAGATCTCCATCTCTTCACCCTCTGCACCCCAACCCTCCATTTGAAATCTCCTCACCATCCACACCCCAAACAGATCTGAGGTGCCCCCCCAATGCTAAAATCTCCCTCTCCTCACCCTCTCCTCCCCAACCCTCCATTTGAAATCTCCTCACCATCCACACCCCAAACAGATCTGAGGTGCCTCCCCAATGCTAAAATCTCCCTCTCCTCACCCCCTGCACCCCAACCCTCAATCAGAAATCTCCATTTCTTCACCATCCATGCCCCATCCAGCTCTGAGCTCCCTCTCCAGTTTGAGATCTCCCTCTCCTCACGCCCTGCACCCCATCCCCTCTGAGCCCTCTCCCCCAGCCTGGCTGCATTTCTGCCCTGCTTTTCCTGCCTTCCTCCCATCCTGCTGTCTCCCAGCTTTTCCCCTCCCCAATCCCAGCCCTTTATCTCTTTTCCCCCCCGTGTAATTCCCTCGCTCCAACCCCCTCTGCTCCCTGTCCAGCTCTCTCCAGCTGCTCCCTCCCCAGGAACGGGGCTCATTCATTGCGTTCCAGCTCCATTCCAGCCCCAAAAGCCAAGGAGGGCACATCCAGCGATGGGAATGCTGATAACGTTAATGGGTGATCACAATCAGCATCCACACACCTGAGCAGGACCGCGGGAGCATCTTCAAGGCCTGCAGTTTCTACCTTTGAAACCCCCACGGGGTGTGTGTGTGTGGGGGGGGGGTGTTTGATTCCATCTGCAAGCAGCAGCTGAAGGGGAGCAAAGCCAGCAGGGAAGGAGGAAATAAAAGTTCCCAGCTGCTAAAATAGAACAGGAAGGAAAAGGTAATCTCCGGGTTTCTTGGAGACAGGAGTTTCACTCCCGTTCAGCCGTGATGAGGCAAGATTCAAAGAGCTGCAGGGGAATCCCTGGTCCCGGTGACGGCGGCTGAGTCACCAGCACTCACCCCAAAACCTGGAACCTGAGAGGAGCAGCTGGAACGGAGCTTCCCTGCTCAGCCCCACATCCTCCTGCACAGCCTTTCCTGTCACACACATCTTTTATGGAAAATCCTTTCCTTAGGATTGTTCCTCCTGACAAGCTGAGAGGCCTCAGGAACAAAATGCAAACAATGGTTATCTGCTGCTGTGGAATGCAACAGGTGCATCTGGGATTGGGCTCATGTGGTTGTTTCTGATTAATGGTCAATCACAGCCCAGCTGGCTCGGACTCTCTGGCAGAGCCACAAGCCTTTGTTATCATTCCTTCTTTTTCTATTCTTAGCCAGCCTTCTGATGAAATCCTTTCTTTTATTCTTTTAGTATAGTTTTAATGTAATATATATCATAAAATAATAAATCAGCCTTCTGAAACATGGAGTCAGATCCTCGTCTCCTCCCTCATCCTCAGTCCCCTGTGAACACGGTCACATTTCCCTGCACAGAATTTTCTTCCCTGCTCAGCCCCACATCCCCCAGCACAGCCCCACAGCCTTTCCCTGCACAGAATTTCTTTCCTGCTCAGCCCCACATCCCCCAGCACAGCCTTTCCCCCTCTCCTGCTTTTCCCTGCCTCCACAGGCCCATGACACACTCAGACCTTTTCTTTCCCCTACAAAGTCACCCACAGCATTCTCCAATTCCCTACAGATCAGCGAGGCGGGGGGGATTTGGGAGCACCCCAGCCAGGAATTCTGTGCCAGATGGGCAAATATTCCAGAGCCTGGCACTCACTGGGGTGTCAGGGACAGACAGAAGGAGCCAGAGGCACCTCCAGAGGCCGTTCCTGCCCCTGTCTGAGCCGCCCATCTCCCTGGCACCAGTGCCCCTTTGGAGATGACAATTCCTCCTGGCTGACTCCAAAGGGACCCAGGGGCAACCAGTTCAGCCTTAGATGTCCAAGAGGGAGAGATTTCAATCTGGGAGGGGTGATTTGTGCTGCCAGTGGTTATGTAAATGGGAGCTGGATACACAAATCACCAGTGTTTGGGCACAGATTTATTTGCAAACAAATCTGGTCCTTTTTTTTTTTTTTTCTGTTTCAGTAAATGTAAGAGTCAAGTGATTGCAGCTGTGAGCCAAGGCTTGGGTGTGATAGGGATAACAACTCTCCTCTTTCAGTTGAGCTGTAACTTTCCTACAAATGCTTTATAAAAATAGCCTCAGTTTCCTCCCAGTTTCTGTCAACATCAGGACTCACACTGCAGCACTCATTCCTCTCCTTAAAGGAACGAGCTGCTCAAACAATCTGCACTTAAGATTTAATCTTTTCTAGCTCCAGGAGATAAAAAGAAAGAAAAGTGTAAGTGGCAGCAGATTCTCTCTGCTGCTGCAAACTGCCAGAACTCCACTCATTTTAATGGAGCTTCAGCCCAGCCAAAAACTTGATTTTTTTTTTGTTTTTGCTTCACGAGCCAGACACAATGGCATCCAGAACCTCCAGAAGCTGCTAGATCAGTCCTCCCCTTGCTGAAATTCCACAAGGCTGGGGAATGAATCCCTGTGTCACAGACATCTTTTATGAAAATCCCTTTCCTTAGGATTTTTTCCTCCTGAGAAGCTGAGAGGCCTCAGGAACAAAATGCAAACAATGGTTATCTGCTGCTGTGGAATGCAACAGGTGCATCTGGGATTGGGCTCATGTGGTTGTTTCTAATTAATGGCCAATCACAGCCCAGCTGGCTCAGACTCTGAGACACAAACCTTTGTTATTATTCCTTCTTTTTCTATTCCTAGCCAGCCTTCTGATGAAACCTTTTCTTCTATTCTTTTAGTATAGTTTTAATGTAATATATATCATAAAATAAAAAATCAAGCCTTCTGAAACACAGAGTCAGATCCTCCTCTCTCCCCTCACCCACAAACCCCTGTGAACACCATCACATCCCCGGGATTTCAATGGGGAAAGGCAGCAATTCCCAGCAGCTCTCCCATCCCCAAGGCTTCACCCTGCTGCTCTGGGTGCTTGGAAAAGCAGAGATAAGCTCAGCTGGCTCCCCAAGCCAGCAGCCCAGGGTTGTGCAGCTCTCCTTGGTTCACCTGGCAGCTGTTTTGCATAGCCCTGGCATCAGATCTGGTGCGAGTTTGCCTGGGGAGGTTTCTCTGGGGATGGGCAGTTCCCCCCACCCCGCTGCCATTCCCTGGAAAAGCCAGGCAGAGGGATGGATCCACGGGGAGCTGCAGAGCCAGTCCAGCCCTGCAGGATAAAAACAACCTCGTGGGGGAAAAGGAAAATGAGGGTGGCCTTCATCTTCACACGGGCGGGTGTCACCTGCAGGGAGTGACAGCAGCAGGGCTCAGCCTGCACTCTGAGCTCACCCCGGGCTCTGCAGGGACAGGGGATGAGGAGGGGATCCCTGGAAAGAGAGGGGATGAGGAAGGGATCAATCCCTGGAGATACAGGGAATGAGGAGGGGATCCCTGGAGGGACAGAGAGGGATGAGGAGGGGATCCCTGGAAAGAGAGGGGGATGAGGAGGGGATCAATCCCTGGAGATACAGGGAATGAGGAGGGGATCCCTGCAGGGGTGGGGGGGATGAGGATGTGATCCCTGGAGGTTCAGAGGATGAGATCTCTACAGGGATGGGGGGGATGAGGAGGGGATCAATCCCTGGAGGTTCAGAGCCTGAGGAGGGGGATCCCTGCAGGGACAGGGGGGTGAGGATGTGATCCCTGGAGGTTCAGAGGATGAGGAGGGGATCCCT